GTGTTTTTCGCCGGAAAACACGAAAACTTGCCGGAAAATTGAAAAACTTGCCGGAAAAAGTAAACTTACTTGTTTTCCGACGATTGAGGACGACGGGAGGTTGGCCGGCGACGGAGGCACTGGGCTCGTCGACAAAAGTGTTTTTGTTGGAATGAGTCAAATGTTATGGTATTCGAATTTATAGGATGAAAGGGAGGGAAGGAAGGGAGAATTCAAAATTTGAATTCAACTTTTTTTTTTGTTGGCGGCAAATAGTCGTTCACCTTTGATTTCCCCTTATCAAGATCAAAGACTAAACTGGTTCAGACGGTCGGGCGTGCGCAGTGAATCAAAGAAACAGATAGTACCCCACTGACGACCTCTTCTCCCCTCTCTCACAAATCTTTGCTGATTCCACCGTGCTCCTTCCATACCCGAGAGAGAAGAGAAGTTTAAGTGCCAGAACCGAGAAACTCCTGTCAAACTTGAAATTGGCGTTGCGGGGTTCCGTGTATGTTCTCTCCACGCCGCTCACCAAAAGCATCGGCTTACCCAACAGAAAGATGTCGGCGAGGCTGAATTCTATGTCGGCCTTCAAGTATGCTGAAGAATCGGTAAGATACCACAGCTTTGACCAATGACCTCCCCACCTTAATCGACAACTTGTCTGATCTCCATCCAGTCGTTTGTAGGGGCATCGGAGAGATGGGAAATGGGATTATCTTGGACTGGGATAAGGTGAAGGGACGGAGAAAAGGGGAAGGGAAACGTTCTATTGAACTTACGGTCGAGATCTATACTTAGCTGAATCGGACGGGAATCCGCGTGCGTGTCAGGGAACTTACTGTGTACGCTTGCACATTTCACTAAACCCATAATGCAATTAGGCGCTATTTTTTTTTGACAGGAAACTGTGAGAACTTTATTAATCAATCGAAGCAGTTACATTATCCTGCAACAGTCGATCAATAAGAATAACTGGTGGTCGATCCACCCAAACAAACCTCTCGTTCCACCTAGTCTCTGTATGCGCCATAAAATGGGCCGCTTCATTTGCTTCTCGGCTGATATGCTTCCATTCACCTCGTCCCGATGCCAACAATAAACGGCGTATGCTACGGCACAATACACCAACCTCATCATGTTGCTCTTCCAGATGATGCATTTTCTGGATTAAAGTCAGACAATCGGACTCCAAGACCACGTCGGAGTAATGAAAATGGGCTGCTAGTTGAGCTCCGAACTCGGCTGCCATAGCCTTGGCTGTCTCTAGTCTCCACTCGTCGGGGATTTTCTTTGCTGTAGCCAGCAGGAATTTTCCGTTGCCATCCCGCGCCACCATCCCAAGTCCAATTCCACCCGAGTCGAGAACAACCGCATCTGTGCAAACAAAAACCCTTCCCATCGCTGGCTTTCTCCAATGCTTGGCCTGTGGAGGGGAGGTTATCTCTTGTTCTCGGACCTGTCGCTGCTTGTACTCTGCATGGAGGTTGCTAGCTCGTATTGGGATCTCCTCTTCGGGCAATTTGGCTCCATTGAACAAATGGGCGTTGCGCTCCTTCCAGAGATACCATAACAAGACACACCAACCCTCCACCTTCTCACCCTATCCAGAATCCATAACCTTCCATATCCATTCCATCCAAGTTTCTGTTCCTCGGAGTTCGAACAGAGTTCTCACTTCCGTCTTCCTCCAAATTCGCGAAGTCCAACCACACTCCAAAAAGATATGTTGTTGGGTTTCCATGGCATCACAGAAAGGGCATTTATCTCCCAACCGTTGATTACGATGGCTAACAAAAAACCCTGTCGGCAAAATTTCTCTTGTGAATCGCCACATGAACTGCCTAACCTTCGGTGGAATTTGTAGTGACCACAATTTCTTGCATAAACGTTCCTCCCTAATGTCAATCACCGCATTCCGAACCTTGAACCCTTGCAACCACTTTTGATATCCCGCTTTAATAGAGTATTCACCTGTCTTACTGTCATGCCAAATAACGGTGTCAACCTCCCCGTTCCCGCGGAGCGGGATTTGCTCAATAGCACGAACAATGTTTGTGGGAAAACAGCTTTGCAGAACGGTCATATCCCATGCTTCTAGGTCTGGATCAATCAGTTCCCTCACACTTGCATCCACCGGGAGCCCCATGGGGTACGAGTACACGTAGTGTTGTTCGATCCCAGGGATCCATTTGTCACCCCATATTTTGACGTCTGCACCATTGCCCACCCGCCATCGAAGCCCACTGTTCAGCAGATCCTGTGCCCCCATCAAACTCCTCCAAATGAAGCTTGGGTTATATCCCACAGTGGCATCAAGAATGGATGAATTCTTGTGGTATTTTGCTCTAAAAATCTGTGCAATCAAAGACTTCGGCCACTTCAGCAGGTTCCAGAGTTGCTTTGCTAAGAGAGCTTCATTAAAGCCTTTCAAATCTCGAAATCCCATACCACCAGCCTTCTTCAGATTTACCATCTCCTCCCTTCGAAGGCCATGCACCCTTCTCTCCGATCCCTTCTGTCCCCATCATGATCATGCTATGCACTTCGTCGATCACTCCGTCCGGAATTTTGAACAATGACATGGCGTAGGTAAGTTATGCCTGTGCCACGGACTTGATAAGCACCTCCCTCGCAGCAATAGACAACGTCCTTTCCTTCCATCCATTCAACTTCTTCCTCGTCCTCTCCTTCAGGTCCTCGAACAACACCTTCTTTGATCGGCCCGCCTCGGTTGCTAACCCCAGATACTTTTGGTGCTTTTCAACTCTGGACATGTCGAGCACTCTAGCAATCTCAAGGCTCCTATGCGTCGACATATTGGGGCTAAAGGAGACCTCAGACTTTTCAAAGCTCACCATTTGTCCTGACTCGATTTCGTAGTCCTAGAGTATTTTCCTCAGCACAAGACTCTCCTACATCGTCGACCTAGCAAAAAAGATACTGTCATCAGCGAAAAAAAGATGTGAGATGGTCGGGGCCCCTTGAGCTGGTTTGATCCCATGAAGCTTCTTCTCCCTAACCGCTTGTGCCGTATACGCCAACAGTCCTTCCGCACACAAAAGGAACAGGTAGGAAGAGAGCGGGTCTCCTTGGCGGAGACCACGACTGGGGACAAACACCGGTGATTGATGCCCATTGACAAGTACCGAATAGGTAACAGATCTCACATAGAGCATGATTGTATCAACCCATGCCTCTTCAAAACCCATTTTCCTCATCACCCCTGCCAGGAATCGCCACTCTACTCTGTCGTAAGCCTTCGCCATATCTATCTTTGCCGCAAAATAGCCTGGTCCACTCTTGTTTTTCTTTTTCTTCATAGTATGGAAACATTCAAACGCTGCCATAACATTATCGGTTATAAAACGACCAGGAACGAAGGCGCTCTGCTCAGCCGAGATTATCTTATCCATCACCCGCTTCAACCGGTTGGCAAGAACCTTTGCTGCAAGTTTATAGACAACATTACAAAAACTGATAGGTCGGAATTGTTTCGGGATTGTCGGAGATTTGACTTTCGGGATCAGGGCAATTAGCGTGTGATTGAGATGCTATGGCATCTCTCTTTGTTCTATAATACCCCTCACTGTTGACACAATCTCATCTCCTACAATCGCCCAGTACTTCTTGAAAAACATCACAGACAAACCATCACATCCAGGAGCTTTTCGTTTACCCATCTGCTTGAGAGCCGCTAGCATCTCCTCCCTGTTTATTTCTTTCAATAGGATCTCATTGTCTTCACTTGTTACCGTTCGCGGGATAGCGTCCAGCACTGGAGATGATAGTGGGATCTCGCCTGCCGTGAAAAGATTCATGTAGTACTGATTTAGGCAGTCAAACAACTGCTCTGTTCCACTGAACCATCTGCCCAAGTCATCACATAACTTCCTTATCGTATTCGTTCTACTTCGAGCCGACGCCTTCCCATGGAATAAGTTTGTGTTCTTGTCCCCCCTGGAGCCAATCCGCCCTAGATCGCTGTTGCCAATAGCTTTCTTCATTACTTTCTACCTCAGCGAGCTCCTCTTCCAACTTCCACTTCTGATCCAGTACCCATTGCGACAGCTGCATCTTCTCCGGCTTTCGCAAAGCCTTCTGTATTCTTGCCTTATGCCGCTTGAATTTAGGAAAAGTTGTTGCACTCCATTGCTCTAACTTTCCTCGACAAGCATTAATTTTACCCATTATCCCATTGGCTCCTTGCTCCAACCATGCTTCCGCTATTACCTTCTCACATTCCGTATGAGTGACCCAGAAAGGGTCAAATTGAAAACTCCAACCCCAAACCGGATCTTCATCTTCCTCCCCCAGCGTATCACACACTATGGGTCTGTGATTCAATCGCACTTTGTCAAGGTTTTTAAACCTCGCCCGGCCAAACTTGTCCTTCCACAGTTCCGTGCCCACAAATCTATCTAGTCTTTCTTCTACATACATCTCATTCCTCCTTCTGTTTTCTCATGTAAATTTATATCCTTGATACCCCATATCCATCCGACCTGTGTCCACTAGACAGTCGTTAAATTGAGCCATGTCCACCTCCGTTGGGGCTGGTCCTCCTCGCTTCTCGTTGGCAGCAAGAATCTCGTTGAAATTGCCGCCGCAAAGCCACAGTCCTTGCCATTGCGTAGCTAAATCCCTAATTAGAGCCCAGGTATTAGCCTTCTCTCCAGCTCCCGGCCAACCATATATGCCCGTGAACCGCCAAACATCATCATTACTCTCTATAATCTTTAGGTCCATATAGTGTAAGGAGGAGTTAACCACAGCCGCATTGATTTCCTCCTTCCACCAAACACACAAGCCTCCTGCTCGGCCCCCGCCAGACGTATCTGTCGGGACACAATCACCACCACTGTATTCCAATTCTTTTCGTAACTCTTCATTTTCCGATTTATTTTGTTTTGTCTCCATTAAGAAGACCATTTGCGGGGAAGCTAGTCGCAAGAGCGACTTTAGGGCCTTAACTGCACGCTTACTCCCCAGACCGCGGCAGTTATAGCATAAGAGCCTCATTTATATCCCGAAGGGGATAGGCTCCCCGCGCCCTTGTTCTTATGACCATTGTCGTCAACTCGTTTAGAATTGTGCTGTGGAGGGTTTGGGCTCTTTGTTACCGTCATACTACCAAACTTCCCTTCCTGATTTTGCTCCCCATTAGCTTGTGACGGTTTCAATCGAGACCCTGCATTTGCTTGCTTACCCTCACCACCCTTCTTTTCAGCCTTTTTTGATGCCTCCTGAGTCTTTGTCCTCGTCTCATCCCTCCTAATAGACTGATCTGCCACCGCCTTTTGTTTTGCGGCCTCCTCCTGCCGCCCTTTGTCCTCTAGCTCCCCATTTTTGTTATCAATATTGGTCCCCTTCTTTGCACTCGCATCCTTTTTTGTCGTTTCATTTTCCTTCCTTCCCTGCTTTCCTTTCATTTGCATGGGATTCCGTCTCTCCTCTTCCTCCCCATGCAGAACGTGAAACTTATTGTGGGTAGTTGATGGCATCTCCTCCCTTACAGGAACTCTCCCAGACTGCGTTTTCTTCCCCTTTTTCTTTACGGTCATCCATTCCCCATATTGTTTCCCGTTTGTAGGGTCAGTAATTTGGGTTTCCGGGACCATCTCTACTTCCTCCTCAACCACAATCGGTGGTTCCTTTTGGCATTCACACTGATCAGTCTTCGACCCATACACACCACATTCCCCACATATATTCTCTAACCCCTCATATTGAATTAAATACTTGATGCCCTCAATTTTGTATTGCGATAATAATGGTCTCGTCAAATCCACTTCCACACAAACCCTCGCGAATTGTGCTCTTGCTCCCAACTCAGTCGCCCTATCCACCCTAATTGGGTTACCAATAGCCTCCCCTATCCGCATAACCGCTTCTTTGTTCACGAACTCCACCGGTAGCTCAGGAAGCTGCACCCAAACAATGGTGGACCTAACGACAGAGGTCCAAGGGTTGAAACCCTTATACCAGCGGTGAACTGTGAGGTAAGTCTCCCCCAATAACCAAGGTCCCCAGAGGAGGCCAGTTCATAATCTAACTTGTGCTTGAATCTCACCAGAAAACATGCATTCTTGATATCAGTGATTTGAATCGTTCCATGTCTTGCCCACAGGTAGTTGAGTCGACGTGATAGGGCGGGATAATGGACCCTTCTTCCCAACCCTTTCACCACCAACGCCGATCTCCACTCCCGCCTCCAACGTATCTTCTCCGCTGCTGAATATAGTATCGGGGGGCATCTAGGGTCAAAATCCTCATCTACTACATAATCATCTTCTTCTCCCTCTCTCGCAGCCACATCCTCCATGTCCGAATCCTCTACATACCAGCCCTCTTCGCCCTGCTGTCCATAGAACAACTTGCTTGCCCCATTCTGCCAGAAGGAGGCTTTCGGGCCTCCCGTCGTGTCCTTTCGGTTCCCCTCCTCTTCACCTATAGTATCCATCTCGATACACTCTTTTGAGTTTGTCTTCTGCTCAGGTTCCAGATTTAGGGCTCTTGCTCGTTTTTTGGGCTGAACAGACTCCCTCTCACTTTTACCATCAGGGGAGGAGGAAGCTGTGGCCGGTCGTCGACTCCCGCTAGCGTCCGGCGGTTTCTCAGTCGGGGCTGGAGTGCCCTTTGACGGCGATGCCGCCATGACGAAAGGTAGTCCTAAGGGTTTTTGCAAATCGCCTCCGCAAAAATCGGAGCGCCGCAGCTATTATCTTGTGTTACTACGGAACCCAATTAGGCGCTATTTATTTCTTAATTAATCTATCTATCTATAAAAATATTAAGGGTTATAGGTGTAATATGCCCCTCTACTATGACGCTTTATCAAACATGCCCCTCTACTATTTTTTACATCAAACATGCCCCTGTACTTTGTAAAAATGATCAAACATGCCCTTTAGTTAAAATTTTCATCCAAAAATCGTTAACCAAGGCCGAACTTTAGTTTGGGCGACACAAATGACTAAAATATCCCTAATAAATTCACTTTAGAATTTTTTTGGTTCTTTTGTATAATCAAATCATTCAAATAATTTCACTTTGAAAAGACCCAGGGAAATAAAAAAGGGGACAAAACAGACATTTTTCCACCCATTTGCCGATTTCGGGTCGTCTAAATTTTGGTTCAACCACGATTGACGATTTTTCAATGGAAATTTTAATAGAAGGGCATATTTGATAATTTTTTTCAAAGTACAGAAGCATATTTAATATAAAAAATAATAGAGGGGCATATTTGATAAAACGTCATAGTAGAGGGGCATATTATACCTATAACCCAAATATTAAAAGGCTTTAAGATTTGCACCCCTGCCACATCAGCCTTGAGCTAAAACTGTGCTGCCACGCCAATGCGCAAAAAACCCAAATATTTCCCGTTTTTTCCCATTCAAAGGCCCTGAAAAATAGCAACCTTTCGCAAGGGGAAAAAACCAGGTATGGTAACTGTCTATTCCCGTTTCTCCTCCTTTCCTTTTTTAGAATTATACCCAATAAAAAATGAAAAACGATTTTCTCCTCTTTTCTTTTTACAAATGAACCTAATAAAAAGGAAAAAGTAAGAGTTGGTGACCAACTTGGACAGTCATATATGAATTTTTTATGTAAATATTAATTACATGTAAAATAGTATTTTCTCCCCATTTTTACGGAGTATTTGCTTCTGTAGAATATGGTTTGTACTTTGCAGTAGAATACTAGAGAGAAAATGGAAATTAAGTTTATGTTCTCCGTCATTTTATTTTTGGAAGAATGTGTGTTCAAATTTTATAATAGGAGGATATATCATATAATATATTACTAACTTTAAGAACGCAAAAATTCATGATTTATACCATATAAACTTATAAATATGATGATTTTGACTGGTGCCACTATTGAAAATTCTAAGTTAAAGTATAATGTATAATTTCCATTCACATTTTTTCTAGAAGATTCCAAGTACATACTGTATAAATAGAATCAAGGAGAAACACTTCAAAACTCTTAATGAGAAAATGAGTGAAGATAGATAAATGAAATATCATGAGTGGATATAATAAAGTTTGGAAATTTCGAACATATATGTTTTATAGATTTAGCAAAGATTACATTAAAAAGATTAGCTACATATTTCTAACTAAAAAACACTATTACATATTGCAGGTTTGATTAGAAAATTATTCTACACATGCTACCGAACATGACAAACAATTTTAGATTAACGACCTGCCCAAAGGGCAGGGGGTATAAGCTAGTAATAATTAACCTCATATAAGAATGTCTAAACAAAACGAAAGTAGCAGAACTACCCAATAACAAAGTTTCTGACCCACTCTATATTCCTTTTCTGCTGTCGAGTCACATGTGGGAATGGGATGGTGTCTTTTCTCATGTGCTTTTGGCGGAGTGTATGATCAATTTACGAGTACAGGAATGTACCATCTGCTTTCCTGCCAAAGAAAGTAACACTAATTTAAATTGACCAAACGAAACCAAGGTCTCCTCTGCTTCTTCCAAGTCGTTTCTCTTCTCATCCCCCTCCCTTACACATAACTAGAGAGCACAAGAGCCCCAGAATAGCCTATAAATTCATCCTGCCTTCTCCTACAGAATCACTTCATATTGAGGGAAACTCAAATCTTTGTTTGCTTTCACGGTAAACGAGCCTGCCGATTTACCATATTAACATCCTTTCCGCCCCGCATTGGCCTCCTGTGTCCTTCAATCCGCTACGATGAGCTCTAGTCCTGAAACCTTCTCTTTAGATCCTTCCTCTTCTTCTTCGTCCAACAACCCTAGACCTCCTCTTCCAATTAGTGAATACGAGGTTTTCTTGAGCTTTAGAGGCCCCGATGTTCGTCAAACATTTGCTGATCATCTGTATAGCTGCTTTGCTCGTTCCAAAATCCGTACATTCAGAGATGAAGAAGAGCTCCGAAAAGGAGAGGTCATTGCTCCTTCTCTTGTGAGAGCTATCAAGGAGTCCAAAATCCACATTCCGATTTTCACCGAAAACTATGCTGCCAGCAAATGGTGTCTCCAAGAGTTAGCTCAGATGGTGAGGTGTTGGAAGGAAAGGAAGGGACACATCATCCTCCCTATTTTCTATTTTGTGGATCCTAGAGATGTGAGGCATCAAATAGGTCCTTACTGGGAAGCATTTGAACAACACAGCCTCAAACATGATCTAGAAACCACAAGAGAATGGAGGGAATCTCTACAGGAAGTTGGGAAAATGAAAGGATGGCACATCACCAAGTCAAGCGGGTAATGAATTTCTTTCTCATATATTCCTTAAAATTGTGAACATCGACCCCATATCTCTAGGAATATAACATCGATTATAGTTCTCCTTCTCCTTATGAATCTTTCTTATAATGAATTATTACATATTAATTTCATTTTTTAATTATTAATAAAGGTGGCAAATGAGGGAAAGGTTCTGGTCTTCTGCATTTCAGTAGCTAATAATTAATTTTTTCACCAACTAAATTGATTTACATTTTAATACCTATAGTTATTATATAAAACTGTGACACTTTATTACCTAAGATTTTAACTCCATGCAAAATAGTACAGAGATTAAGTAACCACTTGAATCTGAGAATCCAGGAATCGAACCACATCCATGAATCCAACCGATCCGCGCCTCTTATTAGCTACATTACGATGAGAAAGCACTTTCATTCACTAAATAACTTAATTATTATTAACTCGTAATTCAATGATTTAGGAATTATATTATGTTTCCTAGTTACATATGAATCATAAATCTAATGAGCATCCCTTTTTAATATTTGAGACGATAGTTATAGTTTCTGGTTATAGTATTTTACTTTTTGATGATGACAAGCTGTTATTTAACTTTCAGAGAGGGAGCTATGATAGACCAAATATTTACTGAAGTTGAGCTACGTCTAAGGACTAGTCACACCTTATTAGTTACAGATCAGTTGGTGGGAGTCAATTTCCACGTCCAAGAGGTGATGAGACTACTCACTCAAGAATTTGCAGATGAGAGAATGGTTGGCATTTACGGTATGGGTGGTCTCGGTAAAACAACCATAGCGAAGGCTGTCTATAACAAAGTTAATATGCATTTCGATCGTTGCTGTTTCATTGAAAATATACGACAAATACTGTCAGAAAATGGTGGGGTAGAGATTTTACAGAACAAGATAATCTCGAGCATTCTAAAGAATGATCGTGAGATCAAAGATACTGGTGATCGAATTCATCAAATAAAAAATCGAGTTTGCAAGCACAAAATTCTTATCGTTCTTGACGATGTAGATGGAATGTTCCAGTTTGAAGAGATTTTGGGGAACATAGGTAACTTCTCATCAGAAAGCAGATTTATTGTCACTACAAGAGATAGAAGAGTTCTAGAATTCCTCCAGGTTTATAAGTCTTATGAACTCAAAGAGATGAGTCGCGATCATTCACTTCAACTCTTCAGTAAACATGCCTTCCGGATGGACTATCCTCCCGAAGATTATGTTAATCTATCCGATGAATTCGTGCAAGTTGCAGCAGGTTTGCCTTTGGCTTTAAAGGTTATAGGGTCACTTTTGTTTCAAACTAACCTGATCTTTTGGGAGCAAAAACTGGCGGAGCTAAAAGAAATACCTGCAGCGAAGGTGCAAGAAAGATTGAAGATAAGTTTTAATGAATTGACTTACAATGAAAAGCAAATCTTCCTTGATATTGCTTGTTTTTTTGTTGGGGTGAATAAGGAGTCGCCAATTTTTATGTGGAGTGACTGTGACTTTTATCCCGGAAGTGCCATAAGGACTCTTGTGTTAAGGTCGTTGATAAGAATTAATGAGAAGGATGAGTTCTGGATGCATGATCACATTAGAGATCTCGGCAGAGCCATTGTCCGGGAAGAAAATTTTCGAAATCCAGGCAAACGTAGCAGGGTATGGTCTAACAAAGATGCCTTGAACATGCTAGAAAGTGGAGAGGTATGTGTTACTCTTGTGTGCATTTTTGTTGTGATTTCCCCTGCATATTTTCCTCTTTTTGGAACTTAGATAGCCCATTTCTTATTCGGTGCCACTAGATATTATAAGAATTTGCATAAATGTACTATTCTTCATTCATCAGTATATATATATAGTACTCTAGTACCATAGAACCATTCCGTCTCCATAAAATGCTCTATGCATTTGTATCTCGTACTTGAATGATATTGAAAATGAAAAGGAGCAGAAATAGGTTCAGAAACGTAAGTTAGTATGTAAGTAAGTAATGCATTCATTTTACTGTGCAGGGAACTGACTGTGTTGAAGTTCTTAGAGTTGACATGGAAGATGCAGATTATGATGAGCTCACAGAGATGGACTTGGAGCAGCTGACAGGATTGAGGTATCTTGAAGTGCGATGTGGCAGTCTAACCGGAGATTTTACAGAGGTTCTTCCAAACATACGCTGGCTTAGATTGCATGATTGTGACTCAATTCCCACTGATATGGACTTAGAGAAACTAATAGTTCTTGATATGAAGGATTGTCCTGTCAAAGATAGCTGGAGATCATGGAATAGCATCAAGGTACGTAATTATATATTGTTATTCCCCCAACGTTATTTGTTCAGCCAAGATCACGTTAATTATACCATTGAAATTAACGTACGTGAGCCCTTATATATGAATTAATTTTGCTACACATACAGGTGGCACATAATTATAAGTTGAAAGTGGCGAATCTAGTGGACTGCGACAAGTTAGAAAAGCCTCCCAGCAGCTTGTCCCGCTGTGAAAGCCTGGAGTTGTTAGATTACAGTGGATGCATGTCGATGCAGGGAGAGCTGGAGCTGGAAAGGTTGAAGAATCTGAGGGTGTTGAGGCTGTGTCGCACTGAAATAACAAAGCTAAAAGTGGGGGGCGACATTGGGATGCTTCCACATCTCAAGGAAATAGACTTTCGGTTTACGAGGTTGACAGAGGTGCCACCTGGGATTAGCAAGTTACACTCCCTCGAGATCTTGGACGTGACAGCATGTCGGCGTAGTGATATTGAATCGCCAGTGTGCCTGATGGAAATGCTGCCTCCGAATCTGAAGCGCCTCGCCATCGTGTCCTTCACTCTCTCGACCCAGCTCCCACCATTGTTGACCCATCTGGAAGTTGGTCACTCCATGCAACTCGAGAGGCTGTCGAACAATCTCGCAAGCCTGAGTAAGAACCTGACGGAGCTACGTCTGTACGTGGTCGGGATATTTGAGATTCATGGCCTTGGAGAGCTGACGGCGTTGGAGACTCTGGACATAGATGACGCCCCAAATCTGCGTACTCTGGACGGCCTTCAACGTTTGGTGCTTCTGAAAGAGCTGAGCGTGAGGGAATGCCATTCGCTGGGAAAGCTACCAAGTGTCGCAAACTTGAACAAGCTGCACACGTTAGAGATCTCTGGCTGCAAGCTTCTCTCCGAGATCCACGGGTTGGGGGAACTCGCATCAGGAACGTTATCAAGCTTGGAAATCAATGATTGTCCAAGGTTGGAAAATATAGGCGGTGATATGGTGATGAGACTGGAGAGTCTGATCCTGGCGGAGCTTCAGTTGACAAAATTGCTACCACAATCGCTGGACAGCTGCTGCACCAAACTTAGGAGCCTGACCATTGAAGAAAGCGTGGATGATGACCAAGACGACGATGTCGAAATAATAATGCCACTACAGCGACTTCCGGACCTCTCCGGGCTAGTGAATTTGATGGAACTTCGGATCAGTGGGTGCCAGGAGGTTGTTGAGGTCAGAGGGCTTGATGGGTTGGAGTCGTTACACACGTTGGAGATTGTCGTGTGCAAGTCGATTAGGAAGTTACCGGATTTGTCCGGCCTGAGGGAACTGGAATGGTTATGTCTCGATGGATGCACGCAGTTGACGGAGGTTCCGGGGCTAGGGAGGTTGGAGTCACTGGAATATCTGTCCATGGCGGGCTGCAGCTCCATCAAGAGGTTGCCGGATCTATCGGGCCTCAACAACTTGACGACGCTGAATGTTAGGAAATGCCCGAAACTGAAAGAGCTGAAGGGGCTGGAGAGACTGGAGATGCTACAAGTCGTGGAAACAGACAAAAGGTTGAAGGTCAGGCATCTATTGAGATCAGTTGCCAGATACGGGAAGCGAATTACTCGATCGGTTCGTGGGGTTCTTAATTAGGACGTGAGTAAGTGATGGGAGCCAACGTTCTTTGCGCTACCTGCATTCCTTTTATTCCGAGTGCTCAACTATTTTGCTATGTTGAGGAGCTGATGGAGGATTCAGGTTTGCAGGGATAAGAAGATCAAGGGTTCAATGGAACCCAGAGGAGGCAGAAACCATAGCTATTGATTTTGGCCTGGAGCTAGTAAGAAGGATGGGGATTGAAGAAATGGAGATAGAATCGGATTGTTTGGGGGTGATTCACCAATTGCGCAAGGATGAAGAGAGGGAGACCGAAGTGGGGCTGGTTTGTGCAGAAATTCGGGCCAAGGCCCAGCAACTAGGTGGGGTGTCTTGGACTTTCGTGGGCCGCAATGGGAACAAACCGCCCATGTTGAGTGTGCCTGGGATAGTGAAGAAGTGTGGGCTAATAACCCACCTTATTTTCTTGCACCTCTCCTTAGAGAGGATGAAACTTTTAATTAATTAATTGAATGCAGATTTCCATAAAAAAAAAACTATTTTGCTATGTTGGGTATGAGTTTGGTTATATTCCGAACTACCGTGTTATCTGAGATTATTCGGCAAAAGTTGTCTACTTATTTGTAATTTTCCACTTTATGTAATGTTATGCACAATTCAAGTACCACATTTGAAATACAAGGTAAGGAACCCTTGTATATGAGTGTTTACCTAGCCCAATCAGTACGAGGCATTTTGGGAAGGAACACAGGAGCAAAACCATGAGGGATTGGCTCAAAGTGGACAATTTCGTACTAATTAATGGAGATGCTCGATTTCAACAAGTGGTATCTGGTTCGATGCAAGGCGTAATACGTCAGTTTGCTGGGGACCCGCATTTGGTAACCTCGGGATTTGAGATCTGCGTCTGTTTGATGGATCCATGAGAGATCCATGTATGGAAAAAAACCTTGTATCTAGAAGCCCGATAATCGCCAAGGAGAGGACACGAACTTCGTGGTCCTTGTCTTGAGGGAAGGATTGTTATGGGACAATCCAAGCACCACATCTGAAATACAATGGAAGGAACCCTTGTATATAGGGCTAGAAATCCGGTCCCAGTTTTCCAGTCAATCCGGAAAACTGGCTTGTTTAAACCCTTCCGGATGTAACCGGAAACCGGATTCCCATTCACCCAATCCAATTTGCGGTTGTAGGATTTACACAAAAAACCGGCCCGGTCCGATCCGGGAAAAACCGGGAAACCGGATAATACAAATATAGCCAGCCCACCTCCAAGAGCCCAGCCCAGTCCCACTCCCACGTACTCCCAACCCGAGCCCACTCCCTAACCCTAGTCGGCCATGATTTTCCTTTCTATTCTCACTCCCTAACCCTCAAACTCTTCTATCTTCTTTGTTCACACTTTACACAAACACACACACGCGCGAAGAAAAGAAGAAGACGAAGAGAATCCAAGCTCCTCCGCCGGCTAATCGCCTCCCTCGATCGCGTCTCGTGACTCCCGTTGGCGACCAGTCGAGATCCAATCATCTGCCCATCGCCACTCCACTACCAGAACTCTCCAATCGGCTCCCTCCATCTTCGGATCTAACCTCCATCATCCAATCGTCCATCGCCACTCTCACCAGCAACTCACCTCTCTCCCCGATGCAAACTAGCGCTCGCCTCCTCTGTTCACGACATACAGGGTGATGGTTGTGCATGCAAGATGAAGTGGGAACAGAGGAGAGTTTATGGGTGCTAGACTCTCCCATCGGCTCTCTAAGAAGCAAAGGAATGGGAGAAGAGAAGAAAGTAAATGAAAGAAGTGGATTTCGTTGTTTGGTGGGAGAGAGCAACGGCGGTAACAATAGAGATGGAAGAGGATAGGGTTTTGTGGGATTGTGTGGATGGGGATAGAGGACCAGAGACGTGAAATGGTGTACAAATTTTTTTTTTAAATTTCATTTGCAAACGGTAGCGTGTTGGGATGGAATAAACCAATCCAGTTTTTTAGTTAAAACCGGACCAAACCGTATTGCATCCAATTCGGTTTGGTCAAAATCGGGTTACAATCCAATCCCGTTTTCGGTCGTGGGATTGTCTAATACGGTTGTAAGAAATCGGGTCAATCTGGTCCGGTTTAAACCGAATCGGACTGTTTCCCAACCCTACTTGTATATTAGTGTCTACCTAGCCCAATAACTACGAAGCCTTTTGGGAATGAAACCAAGAGTAAAACCGTGAGGGCTTGGCCCAAAGCGGACAATATCGTACTAATGAGCTTGGTGAACACTAATATACAAATGTTCCTTCTCTTATATTTCCGATGTGGTACTTGAATTGTCATATAACATGTAAAAAATTGTTGGGTGTTAAATAACATATTCGACAATATGGTATTTTTCTCAAATCCTATTCTCTCTTCTTTTCTCGACATCGTTGTCCTTCCGATCTTCCTATATGGTTGACCAGTTTTTTTCTTTTCTCTTATTTTCATCTCAAATTCTATCCATCTTTCTCTCTAAATTTTGTGTTCATATTAAGTTGACACATTAAAGAGTTCTTCATCATTAAAGTTTGTCAAATCTATATGTCTTAATTTGTATGCCTATCACACTTACCTACCTCATATCTAATTTTTTCGGAAACGTGGGGCGCTAAAATAACACCTCAGCCTGACAATTAAATTAAACAAGCTTGGGTGATACCCAATATGTCATACATACTCCAATAACGAAGACCTGGATGAGGAAGACTTATCTCATGAGAATCCTATACTAAAAGAATGATCCTTATTAGCTAGAAAATCTGCTACTCGATTGCATTCCTTGTACATGTGGTTAAATTTCTGAAAAAGAATCCTGAGCTCATGAAAGTTTAGTTTCTTCTATCAAAGTCGCACAACTACAACTCAAGAATGAACAGCTCGAATTGACCTTCAAACAAACATAAAAATAAAGGAATATGTGAGAATAGCAGTACAAGAAATAAGTGCTTTAGCGACAGCCTTTTAATGACAGCCAGTCTAGTCGTCGATAATTGCGGAACTTCCAGCGGAAGCCTCTGCCCGTCAATTGACCGTCGGCATCCGTGGCTATGATAATATACACCTATCGCCGACGGTGTACAAGCAAAAGTCTTTTTTATTGAGTCCTTTTCTTTTGTTAATGTTTTAGCCTTATCTATTTTTGTCTTTCTCCGGTAATTATTTTTTTCCTATTATATTTACACATTCAAATTATTTATAAAAAAACTATTTTAATGGAAAGGGATGGGATACGGCTCTTCTAATAGGGGATGTAATTTTCACTTCCCACTTCCTGGCCGTAGATCCCCCTTGCTTATCTGACGGTCCTTAACACACCAAGGGCTTTTGTGTAAGTTGCTTAATTGACATAATTTTAAAAAAAATTAAATTTATGGGGAATATTTTTATGCGTGATTTGTGGGATTGGATTACCACTAACCATAACCAATGACGACGGTCCCTTACCATTTCAGGATTCTTTATCATCAGAACCAACGTCCGGAGCTTAACGGATTGGTAACGTCATATTGTCGGGAAAAACTTCTCGCTGCCGCCGACATAATAAACAGTGACATTGGCTTCAACCTCAACCTCCCATACACAGGGAACGACGATGTCGGCATTGAAGAGGCGGAGAATGATGATTATGTTTTCATGATGGATGAAAACCCCAGTTTCGACGTGGATAACCTATTCCACGATGAGCTACGGAACGTCGAGGATTGAGAGCCACACCCAGTCTTGGACGACGTCAACGTGGCAAACGATGATGATTGCTTACCGCAACAGATCGAGCATGTTGAAGAAGAGAACGTCGGCATCCCCATGGAGAATGCAGCCAGAGCCAATAATCTCGGTAGGGTTAACAAGTGTAATTACGAATTCGGTAGTGGTAGTCATTTTTAATGGTACAACTGATGAGAGGACAGAATTGTACCAGTAGTCTTCTAGTGGTAGTAATATACTGGTAGACATATAGTGGTATACGATTAGTGGTAGTAATCTAGTGGTACTAATTACTCGTATCAAATTTCCAGTGGTACATTAACATACCACCTAGTGGTAGTGGTCTAGTGGTACTAATCTAAAGTTTCCTTTTTAATTACAGGTGTCTTATCGACTATTATCCCGGTGGTCATGTCAATATGGGAGAACTTGCGTTTCAAGAATCAAGATGAATTTAACAGTTTTTACAAGTGTTTTGCACATGTACCACTACAGGTGACTTTGTATTAGTGATAATTGGTTACTAGTGGGTTTTGATACCTACCTTTAATAGTTAATGGTATATGTGTCACTCTTCTTTACTTGTTTGTGGTTAATGGTACATGTATTTGTTAGTAGTGGGTGCTGGAGACGACAAGTGATAGTGGTACCAAAAAGTTGTTTCTTAGTGGTACCGGTAATACTTACTGGTACAAGTACCAGCACTTATACCACTATATGTCATTTTATAATTAGAAAAACAAGGTCACTACTGCTGTAACACAAAATCATATCAACTGTTTAACCAACATTACTAGTTTTCACCAACACATGAAAAAAAGAGGGATCTAAAAAATTGTACACAAAAGTGAAGCAGCGACAGGATAAGAAAAGATATAGGAAGAGGGCTCGAAAGATAGCAAGTGAGATGGCAAGAAAATAAATCAATAAGGAGCTGAATAACAAGAGGAAAAAACACTCAACCTAAATATTGTTGGTTGTTTGTTGTCTAGTTAGATGTTTCATTAAAAACTTGGGGTATGATACAGTTAAATTTGTCCCTTGTGGAATATATTACATTATTGAATTTTTGGAGTTGCATATTTTTGTTGCTAAACACTAGCTAACCATTTTAAAGTGTTCTTATGCAAATGTGCTCGTACGAGTATCACTAATAGTACCTACATGTACGTGCGCCATTACTAGTTACTTGGTACATATACCAGTATTAATTATTGGTACATGTAGCAGTTCTAACTAAACACAAAGGTTGTAGAATGGAGAGTGGGGGAAAAAGAATGACTTGGAACTTTCCCCATTGTACTTGGAGGAGTGTTAGAGCCACTAATGAATAGTAACTCAAACATAGGCTTTTATATGATCATGCTCAATAAAAAGGGGAAAAAAAGAAAGAAAAAACACTAAAGAGGATGAAACTCAGTCCTGATACAAAACTCGTGGTAGCGGCCTTGGGAAACGATGGTGGGGAACAACTTAGGATTTCTTCGAGAATATTTCGAGATGGGCTGCGAAATGGTGGGCAAATGCGATGATTTGTACAAAACACTAAAGAGGATGAAACTCGATCCAGATACAAAACTCGTGGTAGCGACCTTGGGAAATGATGATGGGGAACAACTTAGGATTTCGTCAAGGATATTTTGAGATGGGCTGCAAAATGGTGGGCAAAAGCGCTGATTTGTGTTCAAATTAGGATACCCATGTGTTTGGGTTCAATTGTGATCATGTTCAACAAAAAGGGGAAAAAACACTAAAGAGGATGAAATGACGTATTTTTGTTCCCCTCTATTTTTGTATTACAAATTTATTCTCATATAGTGTACATTATTCCTCCCATAATAGAAATGACATATTTTTTCTGCATAGCGGTAGCTCAAACCCTAGAAACCAACTACCGCAACAAATCAATGGGAATCACACTTGACTCGATTTATCTTTTTGAAAAAAAATGCAAATAAAAACATTTTTGATTTTGATCAAGATTAAGTTAGGGGGGAAAACGCATATCTAAACCAGAGGGGTTAAGTGTTATTTTTAGAAAATGACGGGGCGCGTATGGAGGCAACTCTTAGGGTGGGTGGTTACACCCCAACCATTGCAATGGTTCATTTAAAGTTTCTCAACCATTGCACTAGTTCGGCCCATGGAAGTTGGTCCGGTTGGGTTATTCCAACCGCCACATTGGTTTGAATCGACTTGTTCAACTTGGTTCGATTCAGGTTGGTTACACGAACCAATATTAACCGATTACCAACCTATTTCAAATCGACCTAATTCGAGGTTGTTATCCCACATCTTACCAGCATGGTACTTCAAGATCATGTCGTGACTCATGTCCTCTTCATTCTCATTCACACCATTGAAAATCCCAGCAACCCCCCACATGAATAGAGAATGTTGAGTTTTAAAAACTATGGAAAAAAACTGTGTGATCTCGACTAAGAAATATTTGCATTGGGATACGTAGGTTTCCCTTTAAACCTTCCTTAGTGAAATAGTTGCATTTGCAGTTGCTGAATGTTGACGACGCCATCACCCAACTAATTAAAATGATGGCTGCTTCTCCTTTTTTCCCCACCTTAGACATATGGATGGGTTTGTAGGGCTGGTAATTGCTAAAGTAACTTCGGGAGGTAGGGACGACAAAATTTTAAAAGGCAATTGCGGGTAGGAGACCCAGCTGATCAGCACGATAACATCAACAGTGCAGCTGCAACGAAGGTCTCTAGCTCTGCTAATGAACGGAGAATAAAGGCAAAACTAAACTGGTGGCGTCTTGTGCTTGTGCTTCACGGCGAGTGAAACATAGCAATGTAAATGTGTTGTATGAAACAAAGTTAACAAAATGCAACACATAAGGCATACTTGTGAAAATGATAAGAAAAGCTACAAAAACATTGTTTGAGAGTTCTGTAATAGTTTGAACTGGCTGACTAATGAGGGTATGGACCAGAAGAAGACGATATACCTACTACTTATTTTTTTCCATAGATATGTGAGGAAATTAATTTTCATTAGATGAATACTGCTGCAAAACTATATTTTAGTGGATTCGAAGCCGTGAATGAGAAGAAGATTAATTCAGGGTATGAAGAGAGAGACTAAATCAATCGGAGAAGGACATCCAAAATTCTCTAGGGTGCCTTCTGTCTCCGACAAAATTATTAGTGGCAATTAAGACTATAGAACATGAAAGAAGAATCGTTAAATGGAGAAGTGAATAATTTATTCTCCTCTCCTTGTTCTTCTTAGTAAGAGAGGAAGAGAGAGAGATAAATTTGAAAGGGACTACTAAAATGTTTCCACATTTGCCGTGTTCGATCAATACTCTTCAAACTTACAATATGAATCACAACCTATTTGATTGTGCACGATCACAGGAAAAATGACAGCAAGCATGAGAAACAGTGTGAGTGCACACTGATACAATTCTGAATGCAAATGCAGAACAAATGTCAAACTAACGCAAAGTTGTCAAGATGCAAAAAGATAAAATAGATTAAGTGGGAAAGCCAGTAGCTAGGTCTTGATATGCTGCCTTCGATCACTGGGCTTTCTCCTGAAATGTTGCTATCTCCATCTCTCCCCAAATGTCATGTGAAACCTCGGCTTGGTAGGTTTTGAGCTCTGATGTTGAATTCTGCGTGGCTTGAAATGTAGTGAAATAGACGAAGCCAATATTTACTGCATAATTTGCACTCAAGGTATCAACGTATTGTCAACTGCAACATAGAGAGAGTACTAGAGCGTGTTATGGTAGCATGCGAGAAATTATAACGAAAGCTCGGTACAACACAACTTATTAGTTGTTCATAAATTGATATAAAATTAATATATTATACTATAAACGATCTTTTAATTGCAATAAAGACCTAATATAATCTTTTTTTCTCCTTATGTCTATTCTTTTTTCCCCAATAATCCTGAAATTTTTCAGCGACAACGGCAATTCCACTAGTTTTGATTCTACCAATTTGCAACTACAAGTGCAGAAAGAAAATTTTCAGCTTTGAGTTATATTAAGAACAAGTTTTGAATCGAATTGGCGACCAGTTTGCTAATGATTGTTTAGTACGATACATTAAAAGAGGCTTACTTAACATTGTAGACAACAAATGTTTTGTGTTTTTTCACAATATGAAATTACGTCGTGGTTGCTTATGAAAACAGTGATTTTATTAGTCAATGAATTTTTATATATGAATGAATTATTTGGATATAATTAGTTTTAATTTTATTTATTAAATAATTTTATTTTTATATTTAAAAAGAGGACATGGTAATTTCAAATCCTGTCTCCGCCACTTACTGTTTGACCTCCATGAAATCATCTTCTTCATCATCGCCATCCTTAATCTCGTCGGCGAGATCATCTTCTGCCTCTTTGTATCAGATCCGAAACCAGGTGTTTTATCTGCGGAAGTTCTCGAGAGAGGAATCGCCTCAGAGCTCACCTAGCCGTCAGAATCAAAACTCGACTGGATAGGCTTTTGGTTCATCTTTCAGGGCAAAGAGGATCGCAACTAAGAAAGGAAAGAAAAGAGAGGAGAAGAACACTGGATTGGATTTTGTTATTTTCTAATCCCAAGAAACCCTAGATTGAAGGCTGAAGGCAGAGAATTGGGATCTGCAAACTGAAATATTTTATAATCGCAATAAGTTCCAAAGCGGTCACTTTATTTCAAATTAAGTTCAAATTGACCATCTTCAAAATTTTATTCTCAATTTGGGCCATGAAAGTTTACTTTAGCTTATCAGCTCCCACACTAGTCTACTACGGCTCAGTTTGGTACTGCTGTAACTTTTAGCAGCTTCTGGTTTGAACTTTTAGAGAAATACTTAAAAAAAGAAAATTGTGTGTTTGGTTGAAAATTTATTAAAAGTGCTTTTTAATATGAGAGGTTGGTGTAAAATGACTATAAAGGACTTATAATATAAACTATGAATAATAATTCTAAATAAATAAAATGTAGTCAAAATGAATCTTATTAGACTTCTTTTATATTAAAAAAATATAATTTTATACTTTATTTTATTTTTAAAATGATATAAATGAAATAAAATTATATTTTCTGAAATAAAATTAAAATATGATAAGGATAATCTTGTATTTTCAAAAGCCAAACTTTTAGAGGTGTTTGACCCTATTTTACCTTTTAAAGCAGAAAAGCACTACTAAAAGTCGAGCAAAAAATTCCCACCTATATCATCCTTTTCCAAACACCGGAGGCCCCTATGGTGGTATATACGAGGACCGTGGGGGTGCTGTAGTTTTCATTCCTGCCGCTAACAGGCCGCATGGACAGTGGTGGACCCAGTAATTTTACATAGTGGTGTCCTCTTACAAAAAATAAAATAAAAATAAACTTCCAATCCATCCAGTGACATATATTCGACTTTTAAATTTGTTCTTGATGTAACTAAAAGCTGAAAAGTTTCAACACTTGTCGTACAACCATAAAATCAATACAAATTATAAGGGTAGCTTGTAATTAAATTAGTTGTTAGGCCCTGCACATGGGGTTGTCGCGGTCATAAAAACGGTGCGCCACCGCAGTGATTCAGGACAAATCGTCGTACCTAGGTTAGCCATTGATCAAAAAACAATTATAAGCAAACCGCAGGGGGGTGGGCGATTTGTCAAAAAACTGCGGCTACCCCCTATGGTTATTTCACAAAACAAAAGTCGCATGAGGTGAAATGAAAACTGCAACACACCCCCCCCCCCCCCTCACTCCTGGTGGTCCTTGTATAAACCGCTATAGAGGTTGCGGTCCTTGAGAAAGGGCAGTATTTTTGTAATTTTTTAGTTTTTGGGTGGTTTTTCCCGAAAATTTCCGTTAATGGGTCTATGAATCTCATAGTTCAAAAAGGCACGCTTAACCTAATGCTTAGTCATGCCAAAGCACAAGGCAATGGCAAAACGCCTCGCCTAGGGGTTTCGCGCCTAATTAGATACTGGAACACGTCAATGGAGTAAGGTTACATATAAGTTTTGAAAACATTAGACCCGCCACGGCCTTTTACATACCGTGCTCGTGCCTATGAAATTTAGGCCCGGCACGGCCCTTAAAGAATTCGTGCTCGTGCCGGGCTGGCCCAATATTTCGTGCCCGTGCCTACTTACACTCATGACCGATAATTCTTACAAATACGAATAGGAGATGCAGAAATGTTCACAAATCAATGACTAAGAAACTGAAGAGAAGAAATAAGTTTTGATTCTGCCCAAGGTAGATATTGTATCTTATAATTTCATCTCAATAGTGAACACTTGTGGAAACTCACAACCAACAAATCCCAATGATGCAAGATTCGAAAGTAATGCCACAACCAAAAAATAAGTCCTGATATGCTACCTCGATCACTGGGCTTTCTCCCGGAATTTATTTACCACCATCCCACCCCAAAGGTCATGTGAAACCTCGGTTTGGTAGGTTTTGACCTCCGATGATGAATTCTCCTTAGCCATAAATGTAATGAAATAGATGTAACCAACTTCTACCGCATAATTTGCAGTCAAGGTCTTAACGTACGTCAGCTGCAAAATAGAAGAGTAGAGCGTTGTGATAGCATGCGGAAAATTAGAATGGAAGCTGATCATGAAAAGCAGAACAATGAGCCAATGACAGACAGGTTCGTGCTGTTGCTGAATAGCAGTTTTGATGCACTTGGCAACAAATTCCTTATGATGGGCGTGGTCGGGATGGTCAAAGTTGACCCTACACACCGTGAAACCAGTGAAAGGGTACTCATCTAGAGGGTCTTCGTCCAAATCAAAACCCTGAAAATGGAATAACACAGCAACACATGAAGACGAGCAAAGCAGAAAAGAAAAAAAAAGTGAGAGAGAACTTCTCATAATATTGGGTGGAAATTAAATAGATCGATGACGAACAAGAACCCTAATTTAACCTCGCTGTCAATAACTTTACTAAGGTAGCGTTGGAAGCCTTCATCATCTTCCGAACAGCTCTCCCAGATCGTCACCTTCGGGGTATACTGTTTGGCCTCCATGAAATCATCTTCATCATCGCCATCCTCAATCTCGTCAGCATCATCATCTACGGTTTCCACCAGCACATCGCCGTCGCCACCCTTGACTTTCTTGTCGTCTTCTTTGACCTTCTGCCTCTTGGCTCCAGATCCGAAATCAGGTGTTTCATACGCGGAGGTGCTCAAACGAGGAATCGATTCAGTGCTGACCATCTGGTCGCAGTCAGAATCAAAACTCGACTGGTTAAGAGTTGAGTTCATCTTTGACAGCAAAGAGGATTTCAACTAGGATGGAGAGAAAATAAAAAAAGAAGAACACTGGATTGGATTTTGTTACTTTCGAATCGAGAGAAACCCTAGATTGAGGGCTGAAGGGAGAGAATTGGGGATCTGCAAATTGTAATATATTCCTTTCCATCATCGAGTTTGCGCTATTATATAGGTAGGGTAAAGTTCCAAAAAAGTCACTACAGTTCAAATTAAGCTTAATTTGGCCATCAACTAAAGTTTCGTTCCCAATTTGAGCCATTAAAGTTTACTTTAGCTAATTAGCTGCCACACTATTCGGAGTGTTGGACTTGGTGGTGCCTAGACTCTTATCATATTTTCATTATTAATATATTAATTAACTAGTTAGCGGCCCGGCCAGTTGGCCGGTTGTGTTTCTCAATGGCATAAACAATAATAATAAGTGTTCGAATGAAGATTAACTTTTTTGGGTAGCCACTCCATGATCTATCTCCATAATTCATTTGTTGAGTTCTTCAATCCCATATTTTGGGAAAGCGGCAAAATTTTGAAAAAGAATTTACAATGTCTTTCCAAGTTCACCTAGTAATTACTGTTAATGTTCGTCGAAAATCTACAGCAAACACAACAGAATTTCCTCCAATGATCATGTACTCGCTATTTGGATGTTTCACATGTAAAATGTATATGAGAGTTCTATCCACTACTTCAATATTATGTCTATAAGTCACATGAGCTTCATCGTGCATAATGAGAGTGGCATTTTGAATCTACTATGCTAACTCGCTTTCTTTTTCAATATAACATGTCGATATTCAATCACGGTCTATTGGAATATAAAATTGAGAATGAGTTGTTTGACGTCTAACTATTAGCAGAGCTCCAATAATGAAACAAGCAAAGCACCACACTATTATGTTTCTCACTTAGTTTCAAACAAATAACCTTCCAAATAAATATTTTTCATTTATTCATAAACCTATAAAGTAAGAAGTAGTTTTCAAAAAATATGGCATCTTGATATAAGGATTTACAATATCTATCCAAGTTCCTCTAGTAATTACTGTTAATGTTCATAAAAAAATCTCCAACAAACAAAGCAGAAATTCCTCTAAAGATCATGTACTCACTATTTGGATGTTTCACATGCAAAATTTCTCTAAGAGTTCTATCAACTACTTCAATATTATGTTTTATCAGCCACATGAGCTTCATCCCAAATAATAAGAGAGCATTCTGCATTCACTATCCTAACTCGCTTTGTTGTTCAATATGATCACATGTCGATTTTGAATCACATTCTATTGGAATATAAAAATCAAGAATGAGTTGTTTGACCTCTAACCATTAGTAAAGCTCATATACTGAAAGAAGCATTGCACAACACTATATTCTTTTATGTCTTAGTTTATAAATAACCTGTCAAAGAAATGTTTTTCATGAATTAGTTTCCATTTTCTTCATCAATTTCATCTAATGTCCGTCTTTATTATGAATTCAGTTTTGTAATACAATCTATTGGATTACTTCATTGGATCTTCTGAATTGTAATTCAAATTCTTGGCAATCATTCAATTATGAGAACTTATATCGTACCTTCAGATGGAATAGGCAACCTTTGAAAATCAACAAAAGACTTCCAATATTTATGGAATCTATCTCCATCAAGCATATATAACTAATGTCTACAAAGCTGGAAATTTGATAAATTTACCTCCCTTTTATGACATGAATAGGATATCATTGCTCTATAATTCCCATATTTCCCCTACAAAAATTGCATACCACGCATTTTATAGTTCAAAATAATTGTGCCAAACAAATTCCTTATCTTATAGGAAAAAACCCCAGAAGAAAACTTATTTCAAACAATCACACCACTCATCATCATCTACCAATAATCCAAGAGCATAAGATGCTTTTAGAAGGAATCATGAATACCAGTAGTAATTATTCTGATTTCTTCATAATAACGACAACCCTTTAAGAAATGTAATAACAAATGAAGATAGAATCTTTCTATCTAAAATGGAGAACACTAATATAATCTTCCAACAAAAATGGTATTCGATCTTCCTCATCTGCCACAATTTCAGCATTCTATTCCAAATGAAATATTGAGGAAACTATTCAGAAATGTATACATTTTCATGCCTTGAAATTATTAGCATTGATTTCCATTCATGCTCATAGCATTGATGTTTTAACACTTGTAATAGCTTTTTCAAATTTTTCGATCTCCTTTGTCAAAACTTTAGTATCCTTTTGTAAATTACATGGTATGCGCAACACAAAAGGCTAAATACTGCTAAGATCGAACTTAAAAAAATCTCTATCGTGCAGATGTGATGTAATTATCAGTCTATAAATACTTTAATCTCATAAATACAAACACCATTTGCTGAAGACTCCCATTGGTCTTCACTATCTGTTGGATTAGATATCAAACTAGGGGTGGGCATTCGATCGGTTCGGTTCAAACCGAACCGAAATGATGATTACCGATACCCCTATTTCACTCAAATGGCAAACCGATTTCGAACCGAAATATATTTCGGTTCGGTCTGACCGAACCGAAATATAAATCGGTTCGGAACGGAAAACCCGAAACCCGAACTTCTCCCCTCTGTCACTCTTTCTTCTCCTCGTTGACAAAAGATAGCCCACTAAACCCATCTATTCTACCCAAAAAAACCTCAATCTATAGCTCCTCTCACCCACTTCCTCCTCTTCCTTCTCCCCTCTACCGTCACACCATCATATTTTGGCTCATCAGTCGTTGACGACCCCCCCGGAGAGTCCCTTCTTCTTCCATTCGTTGTCGTCTCTCGGCGTGGTGGAGATGGGGGCGGGCATAGCCGGCGACAGGAATGGGACGATGCATTTAATCTCGCCGACGGGGTGACAAACAGAGATTGAATCCACAGCCACGAGCGACGATGAAGAGGGGGATTAAACTTCCACGGCCACGAACGACGGCGACGAAGTTGGATCTAGAATCGGGTAAACTCTTTTCATTTTCAACATGCATCTGGTTCACTCGTTTGATTTTCAGTATTGATTTTGATGCATGTGGGTTTATGTTTGGATTTGGGTTTCTAGTTTCAGGGAGTAGAAGAGAGCGAAGAAAGGGGAAATGCCATCGGTGATCGGACTCCTATGGGGCGTGGGCGGTCGATGAGCAGGAGTAGAGATCTTTTGGAACGGCGGCAGTGGAGCTGTGGAGGATTGGTGGTTGGCTGGTTGGTGAGGGGCGGCGAGGCCTTGCCTACTGCTGTGGGAGAAAGAATTCAATATGGGACAGGGAATTAGAGATAGGGTTAAGGGTAGGAATCAGGTAGGGGATTGGGCTTAGGGTTGTGGCCTGGTGGGGTCTGACTGGGCTTTGGAATAGGAGAGTTGGGCTGTTAGGGGATTGGGTCAGGGAGTGTATAATAGGGCCAGAGAGTGTATTTCGGTTCATCGGTTCGGGGTTCGGAAACTCGGTTCGGTCAAGAAGATCCTGTGTTCCGAATCATGCCAATTTCGCTTCCGAATTCCGAACCGAACAATATTATTTCGGTTTCGGTTCGGTGTAAGTTCGGTTCGGTCCGGTTCGGTTCGGGTTTACCGAACCGGATGCCCACCCCTATATCAAACCATTGCTTAGTCTTAAGAGGAATTAGGGGTGTTCAAATGGAGTGGTTACTGTGGTAATCATTTTATCCCATAGTCTTAGGATGATTTGGATAATTGGTGTGGTTTGGTTATATTTTTTTAGTTTGTTTAGTTTAGATGACTTGATTTCAGACAAATCTAATATAACCAATCAAAGCAATTAATCAATTATACAATTAGCCATATATAAAATATATTATATATTCCATGCTTAATATTTTGCATAATCACTGAATACTCAAATGTTCATTCCTTTTGGAGTGTAGGCAACAACATGTCCATGAGATCCAATTTTTAATAAAGCTCATACATTATGTTGGATAAAAATATAAAGCGAAGGCTTTTCGGCCTCTGATAACTGCTAAGAGACAAAGCAATTAACAAAGACACACCCAATTGATAACCTCCACTATTGGTATATATTAATTGTTAGGTGGCTTTATAAGATAATTATATTAGTTGTATGTATTTATGTAAAAGAGTAACTATGTGTTGATTGTTATATTTTACTTATTATATATGTGCATATATTATGGATTGATACATTAATAAGAGTTTTTTTTGGCGTATTAATAATGTTGTTTATAATGATTAATTTGATTAACCAATTTACCAAACATATTAAAATTTAGTTTGGTTAATTTGATCTATTTGATGAAACTATTGTATTTTATATTTAATAAAATTTAAACTTATTTAATTTGATAGTTACAATGGTAACCATTTGAGCACTCCTAGTAGAAACGTTGACAATTCTTATGGCTTTGAGTTATATAAAGGGCATGTTTCTTCGTTCCTAATTTTTTGAATGGTTAATAAATTTTCTTCAAATCACATTTATGTATATAAATTTAGCATATTATAAGATGGAGAGCAATAATTTTACAACATCGATTTGCGCAAAATGTTTAGAGAGGTTATAACAACTAATAGTTATCATCAATGTTTATATCGGGACCATCCAACTTATTTTGCCGTTGACATAGACATTGATAAGAATCAACTATATCTTTTGGTGATGTAAAAATGAGTTTATTTTTCTAAATCACACAAATTAAATTGGAAGATGTACTGAATTATGAAAATAAAAATATATGTACTTAAATTCAAATTTTAAAGATCAAATTGCAACAATGTTTTAATTTTTGGATGATTCTCTGCCTGTAATATATATCAAGTATAAAAATCCCAATAATGATTGCTAATAATAATATGAAAAATATTTGTGAAACCTTGAACATAATTATTTTGTCATTATCTGATTAACTATCATTCCTTAACTATGTATTGCTGTGATTCTATTTCACAATTGAATAGCAAGATATTGCAGTATAAAAAACCACATAGCAAGGGATTCACTACGTTCTTTTCTTGGGACAGATTCACTACTTTGTACCTTCAATAATTCTTAACAATTCTTGACATATTATATGGTCAATACCTGCAATAATTACGCAAAATGATATTTACATGCCTGCAGAGAAATGAA